CAGAGAGAGTGGCACCAAGCCTGACCCGAAAGGTACGGCGAGAGAGAAAGCTTTGAAGGAAGAGAGGGATTTTACCATGAAGGCCAAAAGAACGAAGTTGGGACAGAATATGGTATCTCCAAGTCGTGTCATAAGCCTTTTCCAGGTCAAAAAGGACAGCAACAACACAGGTCTTCGCAGCAAAAGCAGTACAAATATAGACCTCCAAATTCACCAGGACATCAGTCATGCTGCGGCACTTTTGAAAACCAAATTGAGAAGGAGAGAGGTGGCGATGGTGTTCCACGAACCACATCAGACGGACATTTACCATGCGCTCAAAGAGCTTGCAAACACAATTCGTGAGAGCAATAGGGCGGAAGTCCTTAGGGACGTACCGAGAGACCCTGGTTTCCGAATAGGGAGTACAATGACATTGAGCCAGTCCTCAGGGATGGACGACGGCTCCCAGACCTGGTTATACAGACTCGGTAAATACTGAGACGTTCATGGAGGGAGATGGCGAAGCATCTCATAATGAACGTCATCCGAGCCCGCCGCCGTAGATCCGCAGAGGGCTAGGGCAGACTGAAGTTCAGAAAGAGAGAAAGGATTGTTATAGGAAAGGCGGAGATGAGTGCGGAAATCTAAAGAATAAGATTCAAGAACAGGCTTACGAAGAAGGAAGGATTGAGGAAGATGAGAACCAGAGCTAACAGAAGAAAAAGTGGGAACCCAGTTCGGTCGCGACCTGCACTGGATCCGACACAAGAGTACCACGGAGGTGGAGAACCGGCGAGACATCTGGAATGAACTTGCCCGCAATCTTGTGGATCTTCTTCCAGATCTGCAACAGAGGAGTATCGGATGTAATGGTGGAAACATAAGATTTCCAACTCTCACGTATACCCGCCAAACACACACCCAAACTACGACGTTAGTACAACGTTTGAACAACTTTTAACACCTCCTAACCAGTTATAACAGCCAATATAGCAAGTTGCAACAACGTTCTAATACGTCATAAACACGTTAAGCCAAGATGTAACAACTTTATTACAAGTTGTAACAAGCGGAAAATAGAGACAGTTTCGGTTTGTGTTTCGGTTTTCGTTTTGTGTACAGCTATAGCTGTACGGATGGTCCTACGGGCCACCGCACTTGCCTTCCGAAACAGAATAAAAGAATCAGCCGTCTGCCGGCGGCGGTGTTTCTTCCAGGCTGCACGCTTACAGCGGACAGCCCGAGCACAGTCCGCATTCCATCAGGGAACGCACTTCCATGTGTCCCAGGAGAAAGAGCGAGGAATAGAGTGGAGGGCAGCGTTGAAGACAGTGTCATAAAAAAGAAGGGGGCACGAGGAAGAGGCAGAGAGGAGAGGTCAGAAAGAGTAGCACGGAGGGTGAATAGGCACCAGTCAGCCTTGGCAAACTGCCACCTAGGGAAGGAGAGGGGAGGGTGGAAAGAGAAAATGGAAACGAGGATAGGGAAATGATCACTGTTATGGAGGTCATCAAGAACCTGCCACGTGAAATCTAAGTAAAGGGACGACGAGCAGAGAGAAAGATCAAGACAGGAAAGGGTGCGAGTTCGAGAGTCCACATGAGTGGGCTCATCAAAATTCAGAAGAGATAGAGAAGCGAGGACGAACGGTTCGAGAAGACGGCCTCGGGTGTTTGTCAGAACATCACCCCAGAGGGAATGTCGACAGTTTGTAGTGTACACACGAACGTGAGAAAGTAGGGTGGGCCTCACTGCAATTGAGGCAGCGAGCCTGGGGAGAAGTGCACTCGGACTTAGAATGACTATCGTCCCCACACCTGGGGCATAGATACACAGTACTGGTGCATTTGAGGACACCGTGCCCAAACTTTCAACACGTATTGCAAAGTCTAGAAGAAGGAATGTACTCCTGAATGGAGCATCTGGCACCAGCAAGAATAGAGGGCAGAAGGGTCCTACTATCAAAGGTGATTTTTACAACTCGAAGGGGCTGACGGCGACGACCACGAGGGGGTCGAGTAAACGTGTCCACCTGGAGGACAAAATGGCCTTGGGCTTCGAGGATATGTTTAATATCCTCATGGCAATCTTTGAGGTCCCGAACACCAGTTGCAACACGGTGTGGTAGGAGAACAGTGTCAACACTGGCATTTAACCGAGCATTTTTAGAGACCCAGAATCAGATTAACCAGATTAGAGATCAACCAGAATCAACCAGACCCGAACAGGGGTCTCTCCAATGCAGGACAAAGCGGCTAATCAAGTAGCTGCATCCTGAGAAGGAGCAGCGATGACACTTGTACCGTAACTGGTGGAGTTAAAAGTAACAGAGGCATCTACTGAATCAACAAGGTGTTTATGGAGGGAGAAATAGTCAGGAGGAGTAGAATCCAGATGGTGGAGATCAAAGTATTTAGCCCACGTAGCGGGACCAAACAAGGCGTTGTAAGTACTATTACGGGAAGGGATCGTGCGAGTGCGGCCGGTTCAGGAACTGCATTGAGAACCCCCGGAGGTCATGGGGAAAAAGGCGCAGTAGTCACAATGAGAGACGAAGCCGTGCCAGGGGACGAGGTGGTCACCACTGGGGGCTGGGGACTCGACCCTACCGCAGAGGAGGGAGGGGAGCTGAGGGGGAGTAGTCTGGTCGTCGGGGCCCAATGCAGCAGGGGCTACAAGGCCTGGTCTTCCAACACAGTCTGACTCAGGTGCTTGGTCGCCCACCCCACGAGCCTGAGAAAGTACAAGGAGAACATTATCAGCCATGAAAACGTGGGAAAACTTTCATTCACGAATGTGCCCCCACACCCACCATGGAGCCACAATTAGAGGCAGGACACCCAACAAGAAGCTATCGCCGATCTTGCTGGGGCCCCCCAGGGGTGCGTCGTGAGTATACGCCCCACAAACGCCACTAAGAACCGTGAGTCCGTCGAGATCGGGTTCAGTGACGAAAGGAGGATTGACAATAAAAGGGTCCCCCTCACTCGAGACGTTGGGTACTACAGTTCTACGGGTGCAAGAGTATGCCTCCTCAAACACCCGGCGTCAAAACAAAAGGTCGAAAGAATAATCAAAACAGGCAAAAGGTCGGCAGGAAATGACAATTTGATAGGAGAGGGGGGGGGGGAGGAGAAAAATGAAACACGAGGAAAAGGAAAAGGGGCCTGGCAAAATTGGTAAAGGCAGTAGCAGGAGCATAAGGCTGCAAAAGGACAGAGGACTGACTCATGAAGCATCACACTCCGGCAGCTGCCCACCAAGCCCCCTCACGGCGACGACAACGAGCCAGACAGTGAGGGGGGAGAGTTTGGTTAGCTGCCTGAAAGATATGTGGTAAAATGTGTCCGAGTCTGTGGGATTTTTCGGGCAAGGTTAGCACCAATCGATTAAAAGGAGCTATTAAATTCAGTTGCTGTTTCAAGATCTGTTGCAGGTGTATAACCATCCTTGGAGATTTTTATCTGATTATGTAAATGTTGTTTAGCTCCTAGGATGTTAGAGATGACTCTCCATGTGCTTTTCATGTTGCCTTTTGCCTCTTTGAATCTATTCTTGTAATAGGAACGCTTTGCTCTTATTATTATACTGGTAAGCACTGACGAGTACTACTTAACTACTTCCTTTGTAACTAGGCCAATCCTAAGTTTTTTTCATATTCATGTTTCTTGTCGATTGCTTTGAGTATGCCATTAGTGAGCCATGGATTATTTAACCTTTTGCCAGTTACTTGCTTGGTGAGAAGAGGACAATAATTATTGTAAAGGCTTAGAATTTTATAAAGGAAGAGGCTAGTTAACGAATTTATATCCTGTGTATTGTTAAATTCAGATTCCCAGTTTATATTGTGGAGGGCACTTGTGAGATTGGTTATTGCTGCTTCACTGTGTAACCTAAAGGTAAGTTTCTTGTTAGCTGGTGGTGTTATGGCGATGTTTGCTACAAGGAAGGTAGGATAGTGGTCAGTTATTCTGTTAGTGATTATACCTGATGTAATGGGGAGCTGTTATGTTGGTCCATAAGTGATCTAAGGTAGTGGCAGATGTTTGAGTGAATCGGGTGGGCCTGGTGATGGCAGGGATGAGCATACAGGAATTCATGCTGTGTAGGAAATAATCGACTTGAGGGCTATTTTGTTGTCCCAGGTCAATATTGAAGTCACCTCCCAGAACTGTGTGATTTTTGTCGAGGTTATTGTTTATAAGATTCCTCAAGTTATCTGAGACTGCAGCTATGTTAGTATAGGGAAATCTATAGATGGCTTCCATAGTCAAGGAGGATTTAAAGGATTTAATTGAAAATTGAGCAAAAGTATATTCACAGTAGCCATCTCTTATCACTAATGACACTGTTGCATATGATGGTATCTTGGTAGTATACAGCTGTGCCACCACCTTTTTTGTTAGGCTTACAGTTGTGAATTGCTCTATAACCAGCTAGGTTGGAAAGTTGGGTATGGTCTTTACTTAGCCAGGTTTCTGTTAAATAATGAACGATAGTTCAGTACCTAATGATGAGAGTAGTGCATTTATATCAACAAAATGTTTACCAAGTGAACTTTACCACTTTACTTCACTTTAACAAGTGAACCTTTAACATCAGTGTTTTGTTTTGAGCTTTACTTTGGTGTTTTATGTGTTTACCTTAGCATTTTGTTATGTACTTTATTTTTAGTGTTTTGCTATGTACATAATGTACAGTCACCTAGAATAAATTAGATACATATGAGTTGATATATTGTCCATATATATATATAAAAGACATATATATACATATATACATATCCATGCAATTGACGATCACTAAACACTGATCATTTGTATGCGGAAAAACCACAAAGAAATGGGGAAGAGAGATGAACGTTTCGGCCTGTTAAAGGCTTTGTCAACACCAGACTGGTGTTGACAAAGACTTTAACAAGCCGAAACGTTCATCTTTCTTCCCCATTTCTTTGTGGTTTTTCCGCATACATATCCATATATACATTTTTAATATTTGTGGCAAATTTTCCTCTTCAGCGATGGTGGCGCCCAAGTGGAAGACTGGTGTTAGGTCCCCTCTTAAAGACCACAACCTCAAGGAGATGGGTAACCTGACCCTGGAGTGCAGCGCCGAGGGTGTGCCCGTCCCTCAGGTCACCTGGTACAAGGTAAACCCTTTATGGTTGTGGTCAACACAAGGGAGCAGTACTGGAGTAAAGATATAGTCAGTGTTGAGTACTATGACAAAAAATACAGGGAAAAAATTATTTAATAAGTAGTTTCTTATAAGGAGATTTTTTGTTTATGTTGAGGGTGCTTTCTTGAATTAAAGAAAATTTGTGTAATTAACTAATATGATTTTAAGCCCAAGTTCATGTAAACAATTGTTAAACTCTCCCTTTAGGACAACAACAAGTTGGATGATAGAGCAGACCACAGGAAAGTCAGCGGAGATCAGATCTCATTTAGTTTCCTGAAGACTTCAGATGCTGGCGTGTATAAGTGTGAGGTGAGTGGTGGCCGCGTCTCAGCAACCCGTCCTCTTAAAAATAACGTCACTTTTGCCTCGTAAACGCGCTATGGCCAAATTTGAACGTAATTTGAAATGAAATCGACTCACAAAAGTGACGTACTGTTCCGTTTTCTGTTTGAGTCGTCCGGCTCACTCGGCAAGCTTAGAAGAGGAAACATTCCTTTAACGTTTTGAAACTTTATGAGAATTTCCTGCCCCCCTAACCTATCAGAGGACCCTTAACTTACTGTTGTTGAAAAAAAAATCCCAAATTTATAATATTTTTTTTTTCATTTTCAAATTACGTCCAAATTCGGCCATACGGGCAAACGGCCAAAAGCGACGTTCTTTTTAAGAGGACAGGTTGGTTACTGTAAGGTCTTTGTTTACTGCCGACCACAACTGTAGGAAATATACCAATAATCCATATATATATATCCCTAACATATTGGGTTGTAACACGGACAATGAATAAAATATATGTGGGAATGGAATATGGAGACTATATACACAAGGAAATCAGGATAACCTGATACATATATGAAAAAATGTTAGGTTCAGTGCGGGGTTCAAGGTCCATGGGTTAGAGCGAGCGTCTGGGGTTACACCCAGGACGCTGGTTCAATATCCGTCGACTTGGTTCAATACCCCATTCTCAATCGACTTAAGAATGGTCCAGGACGGACCGAAACGTCGTCGTCCTTTCACCTTCTAGTGTGTGGTCTGGTCAACATACCCGTCACGTATCAGTGATGTTCTCATGGAGACCATATGTTATGAACTATGAAATTATATAAATGAAATACAATATATATAATAACAACCTGTTCAAAGGCCAGCCTCGTTAATGCTACCTCCCAAGACGCATTGATAAATTCTATTGTACAGTGTATTAAAATTTTATTTTTCTCATATTAATATTTTTATATATTAAAGTTTTATGTGTAGTCAGTCATAGTGTGTTAAGTTAAGTGATTAGGTTTTGTTTGTGATTATTTGTGTTTTAAGTACATGTGTGAAGCATTTACACCAACCCGGCCTCAGACTAAGCTCATTTTATCCAGCGGTCGACCCCAAAGACACATTAAATTTTAACATTCTGTTCATTCAAAACAGGAATTTTCTCAAATATAAATTAATATTATTATATTTTAGCATATTGTGCATATATAGGCATTGGTTAGGTGTTTAGATTCTGTTGGGGATTATTCGTACTTGTAGTACGTGGGTGAAGCATTTACAGCGTTGTGGTTCGAACAAAAGTCATCAGCGAAGTACTTGTTCCGGAAGTGTTCGGACGTCATCAGTTGTGAGTCGTGTGTAAACCGTTTTTCAGCGAAGCACTCTCCGAGAAATGAGCAAACTTCATCACTTATCAGTCGTGTGTAAACAAGTTTTTCACTCACAAAGAAGAGGTTTAGCGTTCTGGATTAACAAGCATTTGGCCTTTCGTGATAAACACGGGCTGATAATACTTTTGACTGACACACAATCAAATCAATACAAGGAAATTGAAATTGATAACAAGCATGAGAAAGGGTAGGAATGGAAATAGTAATATGAGTGGGAAATGGTAATGTAAAACAGAATGAATGGGAAATGATTTGGGAAGTAATATGAGAGAGATATGGATACAAAATTCAACAAGTGAAATTCAATAAAATAATAATCAATACAAGGACTTCAATTGCTTGAGTCACTTAAATTCGAATCAATCTCATTTCATCTTAAATTTCAGTAATCAGCTATCTTGAATCCTAGCGTAATCTTTATGCCGCATCCTAGCATAATCTTTATGACGCGTGTATATATATATCTCATTTTTAAAGCAGTGTCTGTCAGAGATTAGGACAGCCGCCTGGGGTTAGCCTCACTCAACTCTGCCGTATTTCACTGTCTTATATATTTCATAATACATAAATGCAACGTTTATGCATTTCACTGTTTTATTGTATTATGTATGTATTCACTGTATTATTGTATCATATATGTATACACTGCATTTTTGTATTATGTATGTATTCACTGTACTATGTATTACTGTAGGTGACAAACCGCGCCGGAACCATCTGGAGTGAAGCCCGGCTCACTGTGATTGACCCGGACGCCTTCGTCGACACCACCATCCTGAGTGTCGTCGGTGTACTGATTTTCTTCCTCTTGTTCATTAGCATATTCTTCTGCAGGAAGATCATCCAGGATAGGGTAAGTATTCCCACTATTCTTGACAGCGTTAATGTTCTTAGTTTTTACCTTTTGGTATAGAATATTCTTCAGCGGGAAAGTCTTCTAGGAGAAGGTAAATGTCACCACTATTCTCACCGTCCCGAGGCTGTGATTCAAAATGAGGGAGACTAGGGAAGAAGATGGAAAACCCTGAAGGAAATTCCCCTCACAAATGGGAACTCTCCCGGGGGCACAAGACAAGTGTAAGCCTAAATGGACAATGAGACAGACACACAGACCAACAGGTGCCCAAATTACAGAATCTATAAACTGGTGTCTATTAATCTTGTTTAAATTACCAATCAAGTTGTCAATGTAATCAGAGCTTTAATATACCAATGTGCTTTAATATACTTGCTAATCTCTCTCATCTCATTTTTTTCTTGCAATGTATCTGTTATCATTTTATTAATTTTGCTAGAATTTACGTACTTAAAATTATCTGTTAGATTAAAGGACCTGCCCGAAACGCTGCGCGTACTAGTGGCTTTACAAGATTGTAAATACTATGGTATGTATTCTCACAAACCCAATGTACCTTCTTGTATATAAATAAATAAATATATAAACAGAACACTCACAAACAAGCTGCACGCCACCTCTTCCTCTACAGTCACAACTAAGGACCTTAATAAATTGTGGCAGCTACAAACATTACAGAACATAAGCGAGACGCAGAAAATGGAATGCGCTCTTTTATGAAGTGGGGAGGGGGGGGGGCCTGACCGTTTGGCTTGGTCAATGATTGGGTAACCGTATGGACAGCCTAGTACTTGTCTCCGGAAACCTCGATAAGCCAAAAACATCCAGATAAAACTCTTAGAGGCAGACAATAAAGTCTACGGACGAAAAGCACGACCAAGCGAGGCAGAACACATCCTCCAGTAGGAGGGAGGCACCCATACAACCCTCGCAGCCAGGAGAGGGCAGATGGTGGCATCAGAGAAAGAGGCAGTGAAAGACTAATTGGTGACGAAACAAGGAAAAATGGACATTGATGAATTAGGCTTACAGCAGCTGGGGAAACCTACTTACCAAACCTAAAAGTGTTTGGTAGGTGGCGCTGCTGGAACCCACAACCCTTCCCGCGAACAGAACAGATCATTCAACATCTATATCATATCTGACCACCTTTTTGTAATACTTTGGCACATCCTCACTTTTACAGCTAACTTAGACTATAGAGAGGGCTACTTTGTACCAACTATATTGTTCGAACATGAATTGATGGATAGTTGGTAGGATGTATGGACAGATAAATGAATGGATGGATGGATAAACGGATAAATAGATAGATGGATCAGTAGAACGATAGCTGAATGGATTGATACTGCTGGATGAGTAGAAAAATAAATGGATGGGGTAGAAAGATAGATGGATGGATACATATATGTATAGATGGACAGATACATAGACTGATGGATGTATAGATGGTGATAACACACAAAATGAGGTCAATGGAAATAACTGGTAATGTAGGACGGTGGATACTCAGTTTTCTGTCGAACAGAACACAAAGAGTAACAGTTAACCATATAAAATCGAGTCAAAAGTGCAATTAAAAGCTCTGTACCTCAAGGTACAGTCCTTGCATCAATGCTTTTCATAGCTTCGTATCAACCTTTGCAAATGACACAAAAAATCAGCATGAAAATTACCTCTGGGGGAAGACATTGAAAAACTACAAGAAGATATTAATATAGTTTTCGATTGGGCAGCAGAAAATAACATGATGTTTAACAGTGATAAATTCCAGGTACTCAGATACGGTAAAAATGAGAACCTTAAACATAATACAGGGTGCAATACACAATTAAATCTGCCCATTTCTACCCATTCATTAAGCCTCATCACAGGTTTAAGAATATAAACAAATCCACAAGGGCCGTGACGAGGATTCGAACCTGCGTCCGGGAGCATCCCAGACACTGCCTTAATCGACTGAGCTACGACAGGGTTAAAAGGGTTGAAACCGAAGTTCTACTGAACTTACTGGATCCCGTAGCCTCTCCGAGGCATAAACCAGGCTTTTACACAACCCCCCCCCCTGCACCCGAGCTATGTCAATAGGCCGTTCTCCCTCTTCGCCCTTACATCACCACACACAGAGATCACACTAACGTGATGCATCAAATACACAAACCCACAAGGGCCGTGACGAGGATTCGAACCTGCATCCGGGAGCATCTCAGATGATCTCTGTGTGTGATGATGTAAGGGCGAAGAGGGAGAACGGCCTATTGACATAGCTCGGGTGCAGGGGGGGGGGTTGTGTAAAAGCCTGGTTTATGCCTCGGAGAGGCTACGGGATCCAGTAAGTTCAGTAGAACTTCGGTTTCAACCCTTTTAACCCTGTCGTAGCTCAGTCGATTAAGGCAGTGTCTCGGATGCTCCCGGACGCAGGTTCGAATCCTCGTCACGGCCCTTGTGGATTTGTTCATTTGATGCATCACGTTAGTGTGATCTCTGTGTGCGTTAAATATATATATATATATATATATATATATATATATATATATATATATATATATATATATATATATATATATATATATATATATATTTTATTAATTTCAATGCTAATACCTGTAATCATAGGCTACTTATTCCCATGCCGGGAAAATATATATTAAATAAAAATGCATCTACAGCTGTAAACATTCATTATGCAGTGTTAATTTCGAAACTAAAATAGCTACCCAAATGTCGTACCGCAATTTAAGCAGAATCGTACGTCTGGCAGCATAACAGATGAGCTGAACATAAGAATTAAGGTAACTGCAGAAGGCCTATTAGCCCATATGAGGCAGCTCCTATATATATCCACCCCAATCTCATTCATATAAATAAATAAATAAAATAAATGTTTATTTAGGTAAGGTACATACATAAAGAGATTTTACAAAGTTTGTTGGATTAATAAATAGAGCTAGTACATACAATGCCTAAAGCCACTATTACGCAAAGCGTTTCGGGCAGGAAAAACATTAATGACTAAAGCTTAAAACTAATGGGTAAAAAGAATAAAATGTGTTGAGAACAAATAAAAATACAGGTAAAAGAGGGGGGGAACATTGTTGAAAAAGCAGCACAAATACAATTACAAATTATTGCAGAAAATTACATTCAAACAGCGTTGTTTTGAAAAACAAACAAAAAACATACATGGGTTGACAACAGAGGGGTAAGGTAGGTTACAGGGAATTTATTAGGTAGGGCTTCGTTTTTATCTTAAACTGGTTGAGAGAGGTACTGTCTTTAACATGGTTGGGAAGATCATTCCACATTCTGGGTCCCTTGATTTGAAGAGCATTTCTAGTATGATTAAGTCGTACTCTAGGAATATCAAAACTGTGTTTATTTCTGGTGTGGTGCTCATGGGTTCTGTTACAACCTTCAATGAATCTTTTGAGGTCAGGATTGGCATTACAGTTCAGCGTTTTATATATGTATAATACACATGAGAGAATGTGCAATGACTTAATATCTAACATATTCAGAGATTTGAGTTGGGGTACCGAGTGATGTCTGGGGCTAGAGTTGGATATTGTCCTAATAGCAGCTTTGTGTTGAGTAATTAGAGGACGTAAATGATTTTGGGTAGTAGAACCCCAAGCACAAATACCATAGTTGAGATATGGATAGATGAGGGAGTAATAGAGAGTCACCAGGGCAGGCCGGGGTACATAATATCTGATCTTAGAAAGAATACCAACAGTTTTTGAAACTTTTTTTGATATATTTAGAATGTGTCCCTGGAAATTCAGCTTGTGGTCGATGAGAACGCCAAGGAATTTGCCATCTAATTTGTTACAAATTTGGGTATTGTTTATTTTGTGATTTATTTGATTAGAGGATTTATTGCCAAACAGAATATAAAACGTTTTGTCAATGTTAAGGGTGAGTTTGTTGGCAGTTAGCCAAAGATGAACTTTCTCTAGCTCAGTATTTACTGTGGCATTTAGAGCAAGGGGGTCAGGACTGGAGTAAATGAAGGTTCTGTCGTCAGCAAATAGAATTGGTTTGAGGTGTTGGGAGGCATTTGGAAGGTCATTAATGTAGATGAGAAAGAGGAGAGGGCCAAGTATGCTGCCCTGAGGAACACCAATGTTGATGGGTAGGGTGGGAGAAATTGTAATATTCACAGAAACATACTGGAGCCTGTCAGTAAGATAAGATTTGAGGTATTGCTGGGAGCGTCCTCTGACTCCATAATGATGTAATTTAAGAAGAAGGTTTTGGTGGTTGACAGTGTCAAAAGCCTTACGCAGGTCCACAAATAACCCAACAGGGAACTCCTTTTTATCAAGAGCTGCGTGAATCAAGTTAATCATACTAATAAGTGCATCGTTAGTGCTTTTTGGGGGTCTGAAGCCATATTGACAAGAGCTAAGTATATTGTGTTTGGCTAGAAAAGAGTAAAGCTGCTTGTAGATTAGTTTTTCGAATATTTTTGACAAGTTAGGCAGGATTGATATAGGTCTGTAGTTGTTAACATCTGTGTGATCACCACATTTGTGGACAGGGGTTACTCTTGCTTTTTTTAGAATGTCTGGAAAGGTTTGGAGTTCAAGTGACTTGTTGAAGAGCAATGCAATATACATATACATGTCCAATATGGACATGTATATGTCCATATTGGACATTGGCAATATGCATATACATGTCCAACCTTCGTTTGCAACAATCAGGAGACCTCACATCCGATATTAGTTTACAATAATAGTTTATAATAAATAACTTACATTCTAGTTTTATACACAACAGTAATTATGAAACGCTGTAGCTAGATCTCGTACTATAATCCACAAGTAGTTACCGTACATCTTGCAGTTCAGGCGATTAGTGCCCGTGTTCATAGGCTAGTAAATTGTCCTCCCATCCACCAAACAGGTGCCCAAATGTCGCACCACAAGTCATCCATTTGGCAACTCAGCTGGATCCTAGCCACTATATTCATAGGTTAATCATTCCCAACCTCAAAAATCCTAATCTTGCTATGCAAATCAGCTAACTTGTTTCTAAACCAACAGTCACAAATACATGCATGCATGCATGCATGCATATACATACATACATACATACATACATACATACATACATACATACATACATACATACACATGCTCCACAACCCATGCATGCATAGAGAATAGACTGTTTTGCCACTATAGCCTCATTAATCAGATATAATCTATACCATATTAATCCCTAAAATGTATTAAGAACAAGATTTCAGCTAGTATCCCAACAGCTCATTCACCCCCAACTACTCTTAAATTTGTGTACTATTAATTAATATCAATGCATACCAATCAGCAAGGCACCCATATTATTCAATGAGGTCCAAAATATTACTAAATACCTTATTATATTCAAACACACCACCCATTGTAATTGCATGACTAAATACCCACCTACATACTATTCATATGGATAAACCAGGGTGTTTGTCACATTTAAAGAAATTCATATATTAGTAATTATTCGTAAAAAGTTGAGTTTGTGACAAGCCACACTAAAATATATTAATTTAACACCATTCACACAAAAATGCTATATTTGTACATACACTGAAAACACACACAATAAAAATACACATTATTAAACACACATTTAAACTCAATATGGCATTTTTGTGCAAAGTATAACATTTCCACACAAATATACCATTACACACAAAATACAACATTTACACCCAAAATATGTCATTTATGCGCAGAAATATATTATTTTACATGCGGAATATATCATTTACACATAAAATATACCATTTACACATAAAATATACCATTTACACATAAAATATACCATTTACACATAAAATATACCATTTACACATAAAATATACCATTTACACATAAAATATACCATTTACACATAAAATATACCATTTACACATAAAATATACCATTTACACATAAAATATACCATTTACACATAAAATATACCATTTACACATAAAATATACCATTTACACATAAAATATACCATTTACACATAAAATATACCATTTACACATAAAATATACCATTTACACATAAAATAGGCCATTTATATATAAAATATGTCATTTACACTCACACTAACATTTACACACGAAATATATAATTAAACAAGCACATCCCAAAATATACCATTTACACAAAAATGTCATAAACATAATTTTTACAAAAATACCCACACACTCACATAAACCACAATTACACCACTTGTTGGGCATCTGGGGCTTTGACTCAAATATAAAATTATTTAATTAAGAAAATTAATGTAATCGAAGGACCTTACCTTGAGGTTACCTTGAAGTGCTTCCGGGGCTTAGCGTCCCCGCGGCCCGGTCGTCGACCAGGCCTCCTGGTTGCCGGACTGATCAACCCACCCACTTTTGAAAAAAGAGGGAAAACAAATAGAGGGATTATAAGACTGACACTATAGAACCAGTGCATAAGTATGTTAAATTATTTAACAATCACTCTAAAGAGAATGAATGGACTGTATTATTAATAGATTGAAGTTAAAAGCCTCAAATATCAATATTTGGGGGGGGGGGTATCCACACTAGGAACCAGTGTGATTCATCACCAGTTCATTAATGGGTAAAAATATAGTAAATAGTAAAATAATAGAATCTTAACTAGAATGTAGATTCTAAAGGATCATAAAAAATAAATGATCAATATCTTGAAAGATTATTAAATCCTAATAATAAATGCAAACTTATTGAGTACTGAGCAGTGAATTATTGCTTTATATTATTCCTCTTAATCATCATATATAGAAACATATATAGAAATTGATAATGTCATTAGTCAAACTTTCTAAGAAACAAGATTTTGTCTTAGCTGTAAGACGACTTCAAGTCCGTTTCGCTACTCGTCGTCGTGATCCTCCCTACGGTTTGTGTGAAAGCAAAGTCCTCTAACATCCTCGCGCAGAAGGGTTATTTCTTATTGCTGTTTATGAAGATTGGTTTGCTTGAGCATCAGTTTGGAGGCTCTGAATGATCGTAGTTTGAGCCTCAATGACTTGACAGCTTTTTGAACCACTGATTCTCGGCCCAGTTAGGGAAATCCCGGGTGGGGCCAGCAGCACGCTTGAATTACGAGAAGTGGGATTCTAGCGAGGAAGTTGGAGATGATTGAGAGGACAGAGCCATTAATATGGCTGTGTCCCATCTGTGTGTAATTTGGCCGAAGCCAAATATTAACAAACCCATTTTATATCAAATTTTGCTAATTTAAAGTTTGCTTTCATATCACTATGTGATATAATCATTTCACATTGTAATTGTAAATATAAATATTTTCCACAGAAGCGGGCACTGGACCTGCGACTAAGGGAACAAAAATTGTTCAATGAAGGCGACCCGGAAAGCCTCAACCCAGAGATTGGAATAGACCAACAAGCAGAACTGTTGCCATACAACACCAAGTATGAAGTCCCGCGAGAGACTATTATTTTTGGTAAGATTTTTGCGCACACTTGAGGTGTTTCACTGATGGTTAATATGGCTTCTAATGAATATATTGAGATAGAAATGTCGCAGCAACAAATAATTCACAATATTTATGTATAAAATTAGCTCCTTTCTGTACCACATATGACTGAATATATAACTGTTGCTGTATATTAACTGTTGAGCTTAACTGTGTGACTGTGGATACAGACAAACTGCTGGGTGCAGGAGCCTTCGGGAGAGTGTACCGAGCTACAGCCATCAACCTGACCCCTGGCCAGGCCCGGACCACAGTAGCTGTCAAGATGATGAAGTCTCGCACAGACAGCGCACAGCTTAAAGCCCTGCGCTCAGAAGTAAAGATTATGATCCACATTGGCCGCCATATTAACATTGTCAACCTGCTGGGGGCCTGCTCCAAGGACCTGGCTTCAAAAGGTAATTTGTTATATTCATTAATTCTTATCTTTTTTTCCAAAATGTGTAAGAAGTATGTAATTTACTGTATATTTAGAGGGGGTTTATGTTCGTATCATAATAAGGAAATTTGCACATACCTCCTTTCCTAATTATTATAGTATTATACAGTTAATTTATGCTAGGTTAAGTTGAAATTGAAATAAGTTTATTGAGGTAAAATACACACAAAGGGATGAGGTAGCTCAAGCTATTCTCACCCCGTTCAGTACATCGTGTTAATACATACATAGACACACATCACAAGCAATAAACGTGTTACCGAACATTCTGAGATTATTGGGTTAACTTAAATTAATAACACTTTCGCTGTCTGATGACGTGTATTGTCATAAAACCATAATACGGAGAATGCCCGATGATACAAAGGACGTCCAAAATATATAGATTTGTAAAAATTTCATTTATTGTCCGAATACTATGGGACGTTTTAAAATGCGCGCCAACTTTTGCCCACACCGTACAGGCAAGTGGGCTCACTGTTCTCGTGACCTCGCTCGTGACAGCTGCACCCTCCCCTCCAGTTGAAATGTTTCCCCATTCCAGTTATTTTATCTCAGGTATTTGGTGTTGTTATACCGGCTTTATAAACACTGCAAAATGACTATCAGATGGATACTGATCAAGAACAGAGCCAATCCACGATGAAAAATTCAAATTCAAATGTTTATTCAGGTAAAGTACATACATACAAGGTGTGATACAAATATTGATGAATTTATAGATAGAGCTAGTACATACAATGCCTAAAGCCACTATTACGCAAAGCGTTTCAGGCAGGAAAAACACTAAAGACTAAAACTTAATACTAATTGAGATTAAAGTATAAAATGTGTTGAGACAATATAAAAATAAAAAAGGGGGAACATGGCAGAAAAACAGCAAAAATACAATTTGGTCGACAAACAGCAGTGTTGAAAAATAAGACATTGGTTGACATTATAGGGGTAAGGTAGGTTACAGGGAGTTAATTAGGTAGTGCTTAGTTTTTATCTTAAACTGGTTGAGAGAGGTACAGTCTTTAACATGGTTGGGAAGGTCATTCCACATTGAACGAAACACGTATGAGGGAAAAATTATTTAGTTTTCATCGAAAGTATAGAAAAGTAAGACTTATATGTTCTTATATGCAAATATCTCTTTACAGCATTTTATTGGGAACAGTTCACAGTCTCCGTGGTGTAGTGGTAGACACTCGCCTGGCGTTCCGCGAGCGCTATGTCATGGGTTCCTATCCTGGCCGGGGAGGATTTACTGGGCGCAAATCCTTAACTGTAGCCTCTGTTTAACTCAACAGTAAAATGTGTACTTGGATGAAAAAACGATTCTTCGCGGCGGGGATCGTATTCCAGGGACCTGCCCGAAACGCTACGCGTACTAGTGGCTGTACAAGAGTGTAACAACTCTTGTATATATCTCAAAAAAAAAATTGATACCAAATTGAACGACGTAGCAAGGAAATTGAGGTCAGAAAGCTGAAAAGAGGATAAACATTGGAGTGGTGAGCTCTAGTGCAACGTTCTGGCTCCCTTGCTGCGTGCGACGGGTCTAAAGTATAGGAAAGTGAGATTTAAGTGTTTATATGCCGATATCCCTTTACAGCATTCTATTGCGAACAATCTGATACCAAATTGAACGACGTAGCACGGAAACTAAGGTCAGAAAGCTAAAAAGTGAATAAACATTTGTGGGTGGTCGTTAATAATTATAAAAGATGCTCAAAAGCGGTAACTGAATGGCCCATAATATGACAAGTCAGCAAAGGGGTCCACTGAAACTCAAGGATGTTAGTTAACAGTAGGTTTATTTATGCAAATTGTATTATAACTAGAAACCTTACTTGACATTAAAGTAATCCCAGCCGCTATTGGTAGGCTTGTTTCCCTGCAATGAAAACATTCCCTCCCCCTCCTATTGAGCCCAAAAAGACACTAACTCCTAATTGTACTCTCTGACTACTGTTCGCTGAAGCTCCACCCCTTGGCACCACTGTTGACCTATAGTGAGACAAGAACAGTCAACAGAACTAGGCCTACCTAACCTGCCATGAACGAGGGTGGCCCGCCACTTGACCGAGGCTGGGCCCAGACACCCTAACATCCATCATTTATCAATAATAAATACTGAGAAAACTAATTACTAATTTTATAATTATGATACTGGTTGTAAAGCTTGGCTTTACCCAAAACTTTTAAATGTATATTTAAAATTTAATAGTTTTGTTCTAGATACACTTAAAACGTAATTTTGTTATGTCTTACTAAACAAATAAAAACTACATAATTAAATCCTTAGCACTTTGATGCTCCACGCAGAAGGCTCTTCAACTTTGCCCTCGTGCACCGCGCATTTCGGGTGACCAAGCGGCGACTCTGAAATGTTTATACTCTTTTTCGGTCTGCTGACCTTAATTTTCCATGTACGTATTTAATTTGATATCAATTTATTCGTAAGAGAATGCTCCAGAGGAATATATATATATATATATATATATATATATATATATATATATATATATATATATATATATATATATATATATATATATTATTAAATATGACCGAAAAAGTAAGATTAATAATTCTAACACGAATTTTCTCAATCTTTCGTACATTACGCTTCACTGTTGGAGGTAAATCAAAAATCAATTCTCCAAAATTCATTTTTATTTCTAGTCTGACGCGACACGGGCGCGTTTCGTAAAACTTATTACATTTTCAAAGACTTTAGTTCACAAATACACAACTGAATAGAACTTACGTATCTCCGATTTTATATCTACATTTGAGTGAGGTGGAAGGGGTGATGTGGCATTAACACAAGACAGAACAAAATGTGGTATTAATAGGGTATTAATTTCATCAACACAAGACAGAACAAGAGTATTAATAGGGTATTAATTTCATCAACACAAGACAGAACACGAAGCAATGGATATTGAATAGAAGTGTTTGTAGAAAGCCTATTGGTCCATATTTCTTGATGCTTCTATATTGGAGCGGAGTCTTGAGGTGGGTAGAATATAGTTGTGCAATAATTGGCTGTTGATTGCTGGTGTTGACTTCTTGATGTGTAGTGCCTCGCAAACGTCAAGCCGCCTGCTATCGCTGTATCTATCGATGATTTCTGTGTTGTTTACTAGGATTTCTCTGGCGATGGTTTGGTTGTGGGAAGAGATTATATGTTCCTTAATGGAGCCCTGTTGCTTATGCATCGTTAAACGCCTAGAAAGAGACGTTGTTGTCTTGCCTATATACTGGGTTTTTTGGAGCTTACAGTCCCCAAGTGGGCATTTGAAGGCATAGACGACGTTAGTCTCTTTTAAAGCGTTCTGTTTTGTGTCTGGAGAGTTTCTCATGAGTAGGCTGGCCGTTTTTCTGGTTTTATAGTAAATCGTCAGTTGTATCCTCTGATTTTTGTCTGTAGGGATAACGTTTCTATTAACAATATCTTTCAGGACCCTTTCCTCCGTTTTATGAGCTGTGGAAAAGAAGTTCCTGTAAAAGTTCTCTTTTCCACAGCTCATAAAACGGAGGAAAGGGTCCTGAAAGATATTGTTAATAGAAACGTTATCCCTACAGACAAAAATCAGAGGATACAACTGACGATTTACTATAAAACCAGAAAAACGGCCAGCCTACTCATGAGAAACTCTCCAGACACAAAACAGAACGCTTTAAAAGAGACTAACGTCGCCTATGCCTTCAAATGCCCACTTGGGGACTGTAAGCTCCAAAAAAAACCAGTATATAGGCAAGACAACAACGTCTCTTTCTAGGCGTTTAACGATGCATAAGCAACAGGGCTCCATTAAGGAACATATAATCTCTTCCCACAACCAAACCATCGCCAGAGAAATCCTAGTAAACAACACAGAAATCATCGATAGATACAGCGATAGCAGGCGGCTTGACGTTTGCGAGGCACTACACATCAAGAAGTCGACACCAGCAATCAACAGCCAATTATTGCACAACTATATTCTACCCACCTCAAGACTCCGCTCCAATATAGAAGCATCAAGAAATATGGACCAATAGGCTTTCTACAAACACTTCTATTCAATATCCATTGCTTCGTGTTCTGTCTTGTGTTGATGAAATTAATACCCTATTAATACTCTTGTTCTGTCTTGTGTTGATGAAATTAATACCCTATTAATACCACATTTTGTTCTGTCTTGTGTTAATGCCACATCACCCCTTCCACCTCAATCAAATGTAGATATAAAATCGGAGATACGTAAGTTCTATTCAGTTGTGTATTTGTGAACTAAAGTCTTTGAAAATGTAATAAGTTTTACGAAACGCGCCCGTGTCGCGTCAGACTAGAAATAAAAATGAATTTTGGAGAATTGATTTTTTATTTACCTCCAACAGTGAAGCGTAATGTACGAAAGATTGAGAAAATTTGTGTTAGAATTATTAATCTTACTTTTTCGGTCATATTTAATAATATATGTCTACAGGAAAGACTGCTACCAAAATATACTAATATATATATATATATATATATATATATATATATATATATATATTGTGACGGTAACGCGTTGGTGTTCGGCTGTTCAAAAGCTAGGGGTATGGCCTCGTCACATTTTATTTTATTTTTATTTATGCATATACAAGAATGTACATAAGGAATGTGAGGATACAAATATGGTAATTACAGTCTTGTAAAGCCACTAGCACGCGCAGCGTTTCGGGCAGGTCCTTAATCTAAGAAAATTTTAAGGAGGTAAATACTTGCAAAATTTATAGACAAAAAAATGTTAACAGATTACATGGAATGAAAAAAAGAAGATGAGAGAAAATTATAGGTACAGTATATTAAAGCACATAGGTAGCTATGATTGATTGCAATGACAGCTTACAATGGTAGTTGACAACAAATTGGTAGGCACAATACAGCAGAAACAATATAAGATTGATTGCTATGACAGCTTGAATGGTAGTTGACAA